TGCAGCGACCCGAGACGCTGGCCCTCGTCTGCGTCGTCTCCGCCTGCGCCGCCTAGCACCAAAGACAGCCCACCCTCCGGCGTGCCCTGCCGCTGCACCTGTCGCAGCAGCATCCGCTGCAGCAGGGCTGCCTTGATTGGCGATCCGCCCACTCGACTGGCAGGGCTGCCGCGGTCGCCGTGCGTGGCGCTGTGCTGCAGATTGGATGCCAGCGACAGCGCGTCGTCGCCGCGCACGGGGGTGCCGCCAATCGACCTTCCCCAAGCCGAGACAGGGCTCAGCGACAGCAGGCTCGCCACCCGGCTCCTCGCGCCCCACGACGTGTCCTCGGTCGCCTCCAGCACCGGCGAAAGGATGCGCACGGGAAAGTGCTCGCGGAAGAACGACAGCGGGTTGCGGTCCAGAGGCACGCCACTGCCGTAGACGCCCACGATGCCCGCCGTCGACGACGATGACCCCTCGTCTTGTCTTGCCGAGTGGCTTTCTTCATCATCGTGCAAGTGCTCTTCCTCCTCTGCCACCGCCTCGAGCGGCTCGCCCAGCCCGGCAGGCGGGACCAGGCAGGGCGGCACCTCTGGCTCCAGCCCGACGTGCTCCACCTCGCGCGGCTTCTGCGGCGAAGGGTCGGGCGAGATGACAATCTCCTCGGAAAGGCAGCTGCTCAGCACGCTGATCGACCCGAGCGTGTCCTGCCGACGATGGCTCGACGACGTGCTCTCGCCCGGCGATCTCGCATGGCCAAGCGTCCATGGCGTCGCCGCAATCGCAGTTGCGGTCGCGGCCCCGATCGTGCTGGCTGCGTAGCTGGTGTCGGAAGCGGCGGCGCCTTCTTTGTTTGCCTTGCTTGTGCGTTCGAGGCCAAGCTCGGCGCTCAGCGGCCGCTTGGGCATCGCTTGCAGGCCCATGGCCTCGCCAAGCATCGTCTTGCTTCCGGGACTCGAGGCAGTCGAGCGCCTCGAGTTACTGAGGCCGAGCGACTTTGCCAGGGACAGCTTCGTCTTGATCGCCCGGCCGACATCGGACGCCATGCTGCGGCGCCGTCGCGTGTTGTCTAGGTCATCGCGCACGCCATTTCTCTCCGACCCAGTATCTGCGGGAATTGCTGCGCTGGTCGGCGAGTGTTGTTCTGCCGGTTGTTCGCCGTCTCTGTGGTCGCGTCTTCTGCTGTAGTCGTCTGCGAGATCCTCGAGGACCATGTACGACGGCGACCTGAGAGCCATCGCATCCGAGATGGTGCTGCGGATCTTGCGCCGCTTGGCCGACTCGGAGAGGTGTGCCAGCATGTCGCCCACGGGGCTGTTGCTGATCGATAGGCTGGCCCTGGCGGCGATGCCGATGCTGCCGGGTGTGGACTGGTGGCTGCTCGGAGAAGCACCGACGACATCCGACCCCGAGAAGCTCGATGGATGTGCGCGGGCCTGGCCGGGCGATTCCTGCTCGGAAACAGCCGTGTCGTCCTGGAGGAACTCGGCCATGGTCATCCGCGTTTGGTGCTTCTCGGCTGTAGGGCTTGTGGACATTGGCTGCAGGCTGAGGTCGATGTCGATGCCGGCATCGGTCTGTGCCTCTTCCTGACGTGCTTGCGATCGTGAGGGAGGATCGGCCTGCGAGGCCATAGTTGACATCGATCTGTCCCTTTCGAAGCTCGGACGTGGCTCAAGGGGAGCCATGCCTGCGCTCGCCCATCCTGCCTGACGGTCCTCGACGGGCTCGCATTGGAGCGGATCGAGGGCTGTGTCGTCCGGAGCAAGAGTTCCGGCGTGATGGTGATCATGATGACCCTCGAGCTTGGCGCTGCCGTCGCCTTGAACAGATCCAGACAAGCTGGCACGGCGTTGTCGAGAAGAAAGTAGCCCGGCGAGCTCGTGCGACCGTCTCTCGTCACCGTCAACGGCGCTCAGATCCGAGAGCGAGGTATCCGAGCGATGCCATGAGCCGCTGCTGGCCGGCATGAGCAGGTCGCGGCCAGGCTGAGGGTCCTTGTTCGTTCTAGTCCCGGCGGGCTCTGCCGGATGCCCGCTGACGCCTAGCGTGGGCTGACCCGGGAAATGCGGGAGCATGCTGGGCCGGCTGGCATGCGAAGCTCGATGGACTGCTCGGGCTGCCGTATCGTCGGAAGCTCGCCCGTCATCCTGTGGCAGCACTTCGAGCCTCGGATGGGGTGACAGCATCAAGTTGACCGCACGCCAGAACGGGCTGCGCGGCTCGACGCGGTCGCCCGAGCCTCGCCTGCCGGCCCAGTGGCGGTCCGAGTAGGCGACGCTTTTGACGCTGCTGCTGCGCTTGGCGCCGGACCTCGACCTGACGCTGCCAGTGTGATGGCTCAAGACAGCCGACGGCCGGTGCACGGCGGCTCCAAAAGTATCGGCGCTCGAGAAGCGGATGGGCCCAGCCTGCGGAGACGGCGCCGCAGGCGATGAGCGCGGATGCACGGCAGATGCTTGATCGAGGAGGCCGTGGTCGTAGCCGTTGCAGTCGCCATAGCCGACGCCCGCCACGGGGCCACTGGTCGAGATGCTCCAGTCCCTGCCGTGACTTGGATCGAGGGGCGGCGTGTGTGCTCGACGACGGCTTCGAGAGCCCTCACGCATGGCATGGAGTCGGCGCTTTTCCAGAAGGTAGGCCACGAACCTCTGCAGCACCATGAGCGGCGAGGTCAGCGTGAGGCCCAGACAGAGAAGGACGACGGTGGCGGCGGAGGTCGTCTGGCGCGTGTCGTGGGTCCAGCCGTTGGTCAAGAAGGGGAGCGAAAAGGCCTGAGGAGGACAAGGAGAGCAAGGGTTGGCGGCATTGGTCGGGGAAAGACGTCAGCTATACGCTCGCTAGGCAGCGGCCTCGTGACCCAGGCCGGGTCCACTCACAAAGGGCAACCATACGCTCAAGATGAGGCCGGTCAGCCTCGAGAGAGCCTTGAGCGCCTCGGTGCGGCTGAGGGTGGTGGCCGGCGCGCTGTCAGAGCTTGGAGAGAGGCATGGCTGGTCCTGCCCGACCCCGCCCTTTTCGATGTCGCTGACACGACGTGCCGATGCCGCTGCCGCCGAAGCCACCGACGCCGATGATTCGTCAAAGCCCTGTCCAGCCGCATCGCGTCGTAGCCGGTGCGAGTCGACGAGGACGAAGCCGGTCGACCTGACACGCCTCAAAAGGGCTTCGCTATGCGAGCATGTCGATAAGCGCGACGCGCGTGCCGCGAGTCGCCGACTCCGATCCGATCCGGTTGTTCGGCCAATTTGCGGAGTGATCGTCGGACGCAGGATGCCGGACGGGGCGCGGGTGTCCGAGTCGGGTGCCTCCCGGCTGAAGGATGGCTCCGGCGAAGCAAAGGTGCCATCGAAGGCGTGGTCGTAGGCGTGCTGGATTGAAAAATCTGCGGCGGCGGCGGCGGTGGTGCCTGCCGTTTGATCGAGGTCCCGGTGAGCATCGCCGTCGATGCCGCTGCCTTGCGCATCGCGGCGAGAATAGGAGTCGTAGGCATCGAGGGTGCTCGCCAGCGTGGTCGCGACGGGCGCACCGGCGCCGCCCCAGTTGGCCAGGGTGGTAGCCGTCTGCTCGGACCGGCACAGGGTGCCCTGCAAGGCCTGGTCGATCCTCCTTCCGGTGTCGAGGCTGCCAATGGGTCGACCGTGGCCAAAGGTGTGCACTGACGCCTTGGGGGGGATCACGCCGAACTCGGTGCGCGTGGCCGCCACGGGCTGCATGAGGATGGGTTCGAGCTCACGGTGCTCGGCGATAGCTCCCCTTGGCTCGTGCGGACGAGGGCTGGGCGGAAAGCCGAGGAGTCTGTTGCTGTTGCGGTTGTGGCCGCCTTGCTGCTGGCTGGATGCCCACACGGCCCAAATAATGCCGCCGATGGCGAGGGTAGTGACGATGGCGAGGAGCGCGACGCAGCTGATGGTCCAGGCGGACGTGACGGCCTGTCCGATGGTCATGCCCGAGTCGTAGGCGGCGCCGTCACCGTAGATGCCCGTGACGAGGGCGCAGGCGGCCGAGACAAAGACGGCGGCGAGGCTGGGTGGAAGGAAGAGCTTGAGGCGCGAGGCGGCGGACCTGTCGAGCCAGATGGTGGCGAAGCTGTTGGTGGCAAAGGCACAGACGATGGCGGGGCGCAGCAGCAGGCAGAGGCAGAGGGCGAAGGTGGTGGGGGCGTCTGAAAAGGGCGAGGGAGGCGGCTGTGAGTGGCGAAAGACGACGTCGCAGAGACTGGCGGCCGAGGCAAAGACGATGGCAATGTCGAGCGAGGCGAGGAGGAGCTGGAGGCGCTGTGCCGGGAGCAGGCGCTGGTGCACATGGCTGGGATGGAGGAGCGATACGATGAGGGCCGCCGACGAGGCGATGCTCAGCAGCGCCAGGGCGGCCAGAACGATGGCCAGCGGCAGGCGTTGCACCATGGCTGCGACGCGCGACCGTCTTCGAAGAGCGGCGGAGGTATAAACACACGAGGGAGGGAAAGAGGACGCGGTCGGTAGGAAGATGGTCGTGAGGATGACAGTAGAGCGGATTCTTCTGGTCCGTACAGGCGGGCAAGACGAGGCAGGCAGTCGAGCGGCTTCATCTCATCGTGTGTTGCGTGGGCAGTGAGCAGAGCAGGGCAATATAATAGCCGTAGGGTTGCGACGGCGGCGCGGCACGGCGTAGGCTGGCCTCTGATCCGGGAGCAGGCGGTGCTCCTGTGCCTCTGCAGCAGCCAACCAGCAGCTGCTGCAACGAGCAAGAATGGGCTGTGGATGCTCAGAGGTGAGCGGACGACGCCTTGATGAAGCGAGCAAGGGAGAGGTGGGGTCGAGCTTGTGGCGTCGCCCCGAGGTGGCCAGCCAGCCGGGCGCGGTGGCTTGCCGCGAGGCCGGTGGTGTTGTGTCCAGAGTGATGGCGAGGATGATTGCGGATGCCATTGCATTCTCTTGATGGATGGGCCGTCGCCTGGCCTGGCCTAGCCTAGCCCAGTCCTGCCTTGACCATGGTCGGGTGGCGAGGGATGGCGTGGCGAGAGGTGGCGGGAGGTGGCGAGGAGCGGCCTGGCCTGGCCGTGACGCGGGCTGAGCGCCGATGTGACTTTAGCCCGTGTGCCAGAGAAGACGAGGCCAGGGCGTGGATGTGATCTCACAACACGGGCCCAGCGCGCGGGCTCTTTGTTTTGGCAGCAGAAGAAAAAGCGGGCCGCCCACTCGCCTCGCCTGCCTTCTGGCCAGCGCCAGCCGGCAGGCAGACCAACAGGCCTGGCCTGGCCGCGTTCAAGCAGCGGTCAGACCAAGCCAGCCAGCCAGCCCAACCAAGGCCAGGCCAGGCCAGGCCGCCCGAGACCAACACCCACACGCGCGCGCTGGCCAGCCAACCGACCCCCCTGCCTGCCTGCCTGCCTGCCTGCCTTTATCCATCTTCCCGACCACCTCCACCAGCCAGCCCCGCAACCGCACCCTCCTACGTCCCTCACCTGGCATCGCACTCGTCCTCACATCTCATCCCGTCCCGTCTCATTTAGCTTCGCCCTACCCTTGCCCGCGCAGCAGCCGCCCACACCAGCCACCATGGGAGAGTCACGCACCGAGCTCATCATGTGGCTCAACGACCTCCTCGCCCTCAACTACACAAAGGTCGAGCAGTGCGGTTCCGGCGCCGCCTACTGCCAGATCATCGACTCCATCTACGGAAACGTCGTCATGCCCAAGATCAAGTTTGACGCAAAGCACGAGTACGAGTACCTCAACAACTTCAAGGTCCTCCAGGACACCTTTAAGCGAAACAAGATTGACAAGCCCATCCCCGTCGACCGCCTCGTACGCTGCAAGATGCAGTGAGTCACACCAGTCGGCTCGTCGCGTCCCGTTCGTCTTCCTCGTCATCTCACCTCGTCCTCGGCCTCCTTTCCTCTTCTCTCCTTCCTCCTCGGCCCCGCCCCAGGGACAACCTCGAGTTCCTGCAGTGGATCAAAAAGTTCTGGGACAACAACTTCCCCGGTAACCCCTACGACGCAGAAGGCCGCAGGGCCGGCCAGGTGGCCGCCCCACCGCCATTGCTCGGCGCCACCACGGTCGGCTCGGCCCGCCTCACCGGCTCCTCTACCGGGCGCGCCCCCGTTCGTGCCGCGGCCGGTGCCGGTGCGTCGACGGGCGCGACGCGGAGGCCCATCGGCGGCGTCTCGAGGACCTCGGCTGCCGCCGCCGTGCCCAACGAGACGATCCAGGCGCTCACCGCACAGATGGACGAGATGAAGGTCAGCGTCGACAGCCTCGAAAAGGAGCGCGACTTCTACTTTGCAAAGGTGAGCCACCCTTGGGCCGGCCGCCGGCTGAGCCCGCTTCTTCCGGCAGCGTCTACGTCATGCTGACGCCTTTCCCTCGTCGATCGCACGGATCCTCTGCCCAGCTCCGCGACATCGAGATTCTGGTACAAGAGCGACTCGGCCTGCTCGGCGAAGAGGCCGAGCAAAATCCCGACCCGGAAGCCGAGACGCTCAAGCAGATCCAGGCGGTGCTCTACAGCACCGAGGAGGGCTTCGAGGTGCCAGAGGGCGCAGAGGTGAGTCCCCGGACCGGCCCTGGTCCGCGGCGCCCCGACCGTCTTGTGCCGCTGCGCTCTGTGCTGACAGCCGCCACCCCATTAATCCCCTGTCCAGCCCCCTCTGGACGAGGAGGAGACGTTCTGAGCTGGCCGCTCAGATGACCCCGTTGCTGCGAGACTCCCGCCGCACTCTTTCTTGGACGGCGAGGCGGAAGCGGCTTGCTTGCTTACATACCAACCACCCCACCCGCACCCCACGCGCCGATTGAGATGCGGCCGGCCTCGCATCCGGCACCCACGTACCCGCAAAGGAATCAACCACACACTGCACCAGTGCCAGGAAGGGCCGGATGGAAAGGGTTGATGCACGGCAGACGATGAGGCCGGCTGGGCCGGTGGAAGCCGGTCACTGATGTGACAGAGGCAGGACTGCGCGCGACGAGGCTTGGGCATGCCTCGGCTCTAGCTTCGATTACGATCAGGACCGACGAGGCAGGGCAATGCGGACATGGGGCGGACGGGATCAATGATGCATGAGAAACGCCAGGCTGGCCGGGCCACCGCTCCTCTTGTCGCCGCGCGTATCTGGCGAGGCGCTCTGCTCGTCATCGAGGGCGGGCACGCTGCTGGATGCCGTCGAAGGCGTAGCGAGGGCAGTGGTCGTGGTCGTGGTCGCCGAGTCGGACGGGGTCCTCGGCGTCGCATCGCCAAGACGAGTCGAGGGCGACGTGGGTGGCACCTGCTCATTCCACTCGGACCCACCACCGCCACCTGCGCCACCGCCGGCCGCCGCTACCTGGCGCGAAAGGGGTATCTGGAGCGGAGGAAGACGCAGGTCGGTCATGGACCATTGATTCGGATCGCGGCGTCGGCGTCGTTGCTGCTCCTCGTACGCCTGGTCGTCGATCGAGTCTTGGCGATATCGGTGGACGCACACGGGTTCGAGCGGGGACCGAGTGGCGGTGCTCCCGTCGTGGGGCGGTGCAGCACCGAGCGGGGTGCGGCAACCGAGGACGCTGCGGTGCGACGCTTCCCGCGAATGTCGTCCAAACGACGTCGGTGCAATGGTGCGCGACGGGGCAGCGCACCTCGTCCCTTCGTCTTCGAACGTCGTCGTCGTCGGCAGCGTCGACGGTCCCTGCGTGGCTTCACGATGATGTGGCCGCTGCTGCTGGACGAGGAGCAGGGATCGCGGACTGGGCAACTTGCCGTCCCGCACCGTCTCGCCGTGGTGCGTGGCGAGTCGAGGTCGCTGTCGAGGAGGGGTACAGGCGTACCGATCGTCGCTCGCACTGCGTTGCTCTCCCTCCTCGCTTGCTCTGCGACGTCGAAACGTGGTTTCTTCACCGGATCGATGGCACCATCCTCCCGTCGCCCTCGAATCCGGCTTCGTATCGAGCTGCTCCTGCTGCTGCTGGGCGGGAGAGAAAGTCGACGAAGCAGAATGCCCCCTCCGATCCCGGGGCGGGTACGAGGCGTACCTCTCTCTGCCTGTCCCCGCGATCGAAGCTGTGGAGACGGATGAGGTGCGACTTTGTTGCGCGGCGGGCGGGTGGAAGAGGAGCGACGACGGCGGAGCGTAGATCGATCCGCGCCGGGCGTGCTCCATGCTGGGCGCTCGCAGCGGAGGAGATGGATGACGCGACCGATGAGCTTCGAGCTGTGGCGCCTCCGCCTCGTTCCGAGTGCGCTTGCTGGGCGCCGGGATCGCAGTCGTTGAAACGTGATGCGGCCGCGCTCGCGAGGGCCCGTGACTCGCTGCTGCTGCTGCTGCTGCTGCTGCGGAAGTCGAGGAGGACGGGAGCGGCGGTAGCACCACGCGGTCTCCCGCGACAAAAGCGCGGGACGACGTCAAGAGCCGAGGCGGGGGCTGCAACGACCCCACGCCACGATGGTCAGACGAGGCATCGCACCCCCGTCCCTGCGAAGTGGCACCGCTTGATGTCTCGCCGCCCCGTAGCAGCAGCAGCGTCGTCGTCCTCTGCTCGCCGAGCGGCAGCCTGGCGACTGTGGATCGTGGCGAGATGCTCTCGTCAACGTACGGCCGCAGCCTCGACGAAGAGGGAGACGAGGCCTCGGGCGGCCCTTGGCCAAACTCGGTGGCATAGACCAGCGTGGGTCGCGGCGGCGGCGGCGCCCGATCGCTGCTTCCCGACGGCCGTCGTACCAGGTGGGGTCGAGCGTGGTGCTTCTGTTGCTGATAAGCGTGGCTCTGCAGCTGCACCGTCCGTAGCTGCGGCTGGCTCGGCACTGTATGCGTCGCTGCGGGCAGCCCCTGTCCTGTCACCGCCGGAAACGGGGAGGGAGTCTGATGATGGTGCTGGTGTTGGTGCTGGTGCTGTTGCTGGTGCTGATGCAGGTGCTGTTGCAGGTGGCGCTGCTGATGCTGCTGGTGCGGATGGTGGGCCGCAGCGCCCTGGTTGGCGGCGCGCATCATCTTTTTGCCAACTTGTCGACGGTTCTGGAACCAGACCTGTCATAGCATGGCGCCGAACAAAAGGGGGGGTCGAAAGAAGAAGATGGCCCATCGGGTGGCGTGGTCAGCTTGGCGCCTAGCTTGTCTCGTCTCGAGGCGCGGCGCTAAAGCGCGAGGCGGACTCAGCTCACCTGCACCTTGCGTGGCGAGATGCCGAGCTGCCTGGCCAGAGCTTCGCGTACTTGCGTCGACGGGAAGCTCGTCTGGGGATATGCAGCGTCGAATGCGGAAGGGATCGAAGCGAACAGTGCGCCGGTTCGGATATGAGCGGCGATGGCGATGGTGAGGGCGGGGGAAGAGAGGGAGGGGGACGAGGGAACGGACGAGAGTTCGAGACTCACCTTTTCAAGGATCTTGTAGAGGACCATGCTCTGTTCGGTCGTCAGGAGCTGGCGGGTGCGTCTGCGCGGGACGGGGCTCGAGGTCGATGCCAGCTCCGTGGCCGGCGTACTTTGGTCTGAGAGATGTCGGGACGGAGGACCGGGCGAGCTGTGCGTTGCTGCGTCGCCGTCCTGGACCGGCGCAACGGGCTGCACCTCTGCCTCCGCCATGGCCACGTCAGTCGCGCGTCCCTGACCGCTTGGGCCGCCAACGCGCTGCGTCCCCGCTGCCGCTGCTGCCGAAGACGTCGAACGGGGCCTCTGCTCCGCGTCGCCTGCCATGTTCCGGACCGGCGTCGACGCTTGCGCGTCTGCGAGGCGCGCCTTTGATGCCGCATGCCCCTGTCGGTCCTCGTGCTGCCGTTTGCCGCCTTGGTCGACGCCGTCGTCGGAAGCGCCGCCTTCTTGCCGCCCATCTCGGTGTAGGACCTCGCCCCCGAGAGAGATGGCCACTGCGCCGTGACCATCGGTGGTGCTCAGACGCCGATATCGATCCACTTCGACCGACCATGCCTCGATGCCTGAGGCGGCGGCCAGAGCGCGCTGGCCATCGGCACGCGCGCGTCCGTGAGCGTGCTCGTGTCGCACCTGTTGCGACTGCGGATGCGGATGCGACATCGTCTGCGGCTGCGCCTGCTCCTGCTGCGGCTGGTCATCCTGTCCTATCCGAGGGCGGAGCGAGTATCGACGGCGCTCGGTGTGATGCTGATGGCGCGCGGACTCTTGCTCTGCGCGTCGCAGCCGCGGGTCCGCGTGCGGCGAGGCCAGGCTCATGCTACCCCGCATGATGACGACGCTGACGACGACAAACGGCGACAGCGACGGCGACGAGGATTGTGCTGGCGTCGCGTCAGTCAGCTCGAATGTAGCTTGCTGCGGTGAGCGTCCGACGGCCTATGCGGTGCAGGCGGGAAAGAGCACCGTGAGGGGAGGGGAAGGCGGGTCGACGGAATGAGGTCGGGAGAAAGGGGAGATGAGAAGGAGCGATGCGTGTGGAAGCGGCGACTGTTTAAGGGTGCGAGGAGGAATCGGGGGCTCAACGAGGTCCCGAGCAGGCGGTCCCCTCGCTGCCTGGCCCTTTTGTCCGTTGATGAATCCATGAGCCTCCGGCTTGTGTCGGGAAAAGGCAATACAGAGCGAGGGCGTTGAGAACAGAGGAGCGGCAGCGGCGGCGCAGCGGCCTGGCCATTGTGTGCAACCCCACCATCTGTGTCGGTGCTACTACTGCCGTATCATCAGGCAGGCAGGCAGGCAGGCAGGCGGGCAGGCAGGTACATAATCAGGCAAGGCACGTAAGGTAAGGTAAGGACAGGACGGACAGTAGTCGTACGTAGCGTCGACCTCGGGGCGGGCGTCGACCCGGGACCGCTTCATGATTGATGAGATGAAAGGCATACCGAGGGGGAGGGGTGGACGCGGGCGTAGCATCGCATGATGGGCTGCCCCACGCCAAGCAGGCTTCCATTGACTGGGCTATCAAGGCTACAGTAGTAGGTACATAGGTGCCCCGAGCCCGACTCGGGTCCCAGTCTAGGTTCGGGGCCCTGCCGTGGCTGCTTGACCCGTCATGAGACGCGGCTGGCTGGCTAGTTGCCCGGCTGCACCGTCAGCATGCCGCCGCCGCTATCGCCCTCCGGCCTCTTCCCTATCTGCCCCAGGTTGCACCCAAAGTTGCCTGTCGTACAGGTATGCGTGCACGATGCGGTCGGCACATCTTAATTGCTTCAGCTGATGCTCGACTCGGAAGTCAGGCAGGCAAGGCGGCGCCGTTGCGTTGCGGAGCCCGAGGCCTTGATCATCTTTTGCGCGCCCTACCACGACGCTCGCACGCAAGCCCTGTCGGTTGCGGCGTTGCCTGACTGATTGACTGTTCTGCCCGTTGCCAGCCCTTGCTCGAGGGTGGATCTCGCGAACCCCTTTGCCTCCCGCCTGGATGAAGAGAGACAATGGCGGCAGTGGGCGGCGGTGCGGCCATCGCCAGCGGCGTGGTGCGGTGCAAAGAGCCAAGGTGCGGCGCGGCACGGTCGGGCTGTCAATCGCCACACATAATACGCAGGCTAGGCTATGCGGAGCAGAGGCACCGAGCGGTCATGAGCAGCTGGCATCGGGCAGGGTCATCTTGCCACCATTTCAGGACTGGTCACGTCTCGAAGCTCATCTTGGCGCTGCGCCGTGTCTTTCCCGCGTGTTCCCAGCTACTATGGCCAGCCAGCCATACCTACTGTATGTAGACGGACCAACAGGCGGGGGTCCCTGCGCTCAATGAAGTGCCGGGCAGGATACTAGAGCACGGTCCTCTTTGCTGCCTGTGCATCGTAGGTGCTTCCAGATACGATGTCAGGCGCCCTGTGCACGCGCAATTGTCGTACAGGCCCCTGCTCCTTCCTCGCCGGCCTGTACGTACTCGCGGCAGTTCAAGCGACGGAGCATGCCAACTTGCTTGCTGGCCGTAAATGCAGGTGCGTCTCGAGGGCTAGCTACGGAGGGAGGGCCTAGGCAGCCTGGCCCGTTGATGAAGCCGGCAACTTTTGAGGCTACCAAGTCATACTCGTCGGTGGTCTGCACAGCAACCTCCCGCTGTCCCGTTACCCTCATCTCGTCAGACAATACATGGCATGCCCCCACCCCCGCACCCTCTCTCCACACCGGATCGGGAGAGGAAGCGAAGAGCGAGGAGCGGATCGATCGACCCACCCGCCGTTCCCATCGAGCACTGACCCCGTCGGATGCAATCGCGACCACAGCGGCTGTGTATAGACATGTACGTACGTTCATGATTCATATGTGCGAGATGGTCAGGGGTGGCCAACCGGCCAATCTCTGTGTCGCTCTATTCTTCCGAGTCGCACCGTGATGGTCGACTAGGTCGTGGTGGTGTGGGCGCGCGGGCTAGCCGGCGCATCGTTGGCCTCCGCACTGTCTTGACTCGATCGTCGCAGTGCTGTCAAGGATCAGGCCGGATCGAACGCCCAGAAGAAAGCGGTGTAGGTGCTGCTTCTTCGGGTCTTTCAGCGTGCTTCTGACGGGTCGGGCTAGAAGCGCCGACCGCCACGATCAGCCGGCCAGCTACCAACGCCGTGGCGCGTCTCCCCATCTCGAGCTTACCAATGCGGCGTGGCTTTGGATCCATGGTGAGGATCCATCCCCTTCCTACACCTTTGAAGCGTCTTTGCACAGCACAGCCTGTCACTCTCGGACATTCCCGAACCGTCCGGGCGGCAAAAGGCGGTGGAGAGATCCCGATCAACGCTCGCCAACGGGGGGCACCGAGACTTCTGTGCCGGGAATGTTCCTTCGAATGCCAAAGGCCAGGGGCGGCTGTCGTCTTGTCGTTCCCGCCAATTCCGTATCACGTCGAGGTCTCGGCGTTCGGCAGTTGACCGTGTGTATTCATGATTCGATCGATAATCGTCGATGACAACAGCGGGGAGGACGTGGGCTGCTCTTGGGCGCGTATCCGTACGGGCGCCGCGACGGACGTAGGGAACCCCACCTGCTTCGACAATACGAGAGTCGCGTCTCCTTCCGTTCCGAGCTTGTCCCACATCGTCGAACCTGAACGCGTATCATCGATACCTGCTCGGACCGGCAGTTGCAGAGCTTTAGTACTTCATCCTGCTGATCTCGGACGGGTATCGCCAAGTGCATGGATGGTGAGAGAGACAGAGCGGCCCGGCGAAAATGAGGATGCCGTCGCGTTGCACATCGGCGTTTGACATGGCGTGCCGTCGTTCCTCGTCATGACAGCCCCCAAGAATCGAAACAAGAGCGGTGGTGGGGGGACGAGGTGGTCATCAGGAACGCGAGCCTGAGCCTAAGGTGATCCTCACTCAGCCACAGCGGGACATCGTGACGATGTCGACAGATGAAGTGCAAAATGACCAACGACGGGCTGGTTGCATCGGCCAAAGTCTGCGGTCATGCTCGGCTATGAGTCCATGTTCGGCAGGCTATGGTTCGGAGCAGAGCCTGGACAAGGCTTGTTGAATATGTACGTTGCTTGGGGTTGCAGGGTGCTCTTTTGTAGAACTGCAGGTACAGGTCGAAGGCAGAGAAGGGATGACGGCGCGGAAATGACGGTGACGAAATGCGAGGTGATGAAGTAATGCAACAAATGTGGGCGGGCGCCATGTATATGTGCACGCGGGACGAGATGGACTGTACAGATGAAAAGCGGCTGTGGGATGCAAAAGGACAGAGATGGGGCTGGAAGGCAACGAACGTGGTGCAGCGGTGACGAGAAGACCGAGGCAGAGACGGAGCGGATACGAAAGAGGGAGGCGGGGAGCGTGCTGTCATGGCACGGCACGGCTGTCGGCGTCCGAGAGACGGGAATGAGGGTCGGGCTCGAGACTACCGCGGGTGGTAGTGGGGGCCGGTGGCGGCGGCGGCATGCCTCGTTTTTGGCTTGCTCTGTGGTTCGGGGAGGGCGGTGAGGTCAATCTCCTCGTAGTAGGGCACGTCCTGGGCCCCCGTCTCCGGAGAGAGTTGCGTGCTCCTGGATTCGGGACTGCCGTCGGGCGTGCCGACCGCCGTCGCCTCGCCGGACGTGTAGTCCTGCGACAAGAGGAAGGGGTCCTCGTCGAGCCGCGCTGGGTTCTGTTTGCTGTCGGCCATGAGGGTCTTGCTTCGCGTTGGCATCGGCCGATGCTTTGGACCTACGAGACCTCCATCGACGCCAGTCCGGGAGGGGGTTCGCTCCCGGAGCTGGAAGGTGTTGTCGGGGTAGTGTCGGCAGGAGCCCTTCCTCGGAGGGCCCGAGGGTGCATGGTAGCTCGATGAGGGTGGGTGGCTTGGCCAGGCGGGTTCGTGGTGCATGCTGTTGGCGTGGCGGTGTCGCAGGGAGATGCGACGAGCGCCACCGTGGCCCATTTCCTCGCCTTCGTACCCGTCCTCGCAGGAGCCGCAGCATCCGGAACCTCTGGACGACGCCTTACGGCCAATCTCGATGCTCCGGGAGGTCCAGCCGCACGTCGGGCTGTTTGGCTCCGAGGTCTTGACGCGGCGGGGCTTCTCGTTGTCGTGCGACTTGACGACCTCGAGTGGCGGCAGGGCGTCGGCCAGGCTGTGGTTGTGGTTCTGGTGGTGGGTATCGGTGCCGTGGGGTGCATCGAGGTCGCGATCCTCGTCCTTGCCGTGCCACATGATCTTGCGCGAGAAGACGCCCTCGAGGTGGAAGACGAGCACCAGGGGCCACGCGACCATCAGGAAGACGGTGAGCGTCGTTGCCACGTTGCGGATCGGCTCCGACTCGAGGACTTCGGCGAGGGCCTTGGTGGCGATGGTGAAGCCGACGTTGGGGAAGATGAAGGCCCACCAGGCCAGCACGAACGTCATGTGCCTCGGTTCCTGGATGGTGCCAATGACGATGCTGACGAGGGCGAAGCAGAAGAACCAGGCGGCCCAGAGCCAAAGGAAGATGGAGCTGACGACGGCGAGGATGACGAGCGTCGAGGCGATCTGGTCGCGCGGAAGGCTGAAGAGGCCCGCCTCGGGCAGGTAGCGGTAGGATTCGCGGGCCAAGCCGATGATGGCGAGCGCGGTAAATGACGGCGGGCCCGCGCACATGAAGAGGCCCGGACGGTGGTTGACGTGGGGCAGCCCGACGGTCATGAGGCGCTTGAAGAGGATGGCGTACATGAAGCAGCTAAAGGCGAAGCCGAGGCCCTGGAAGGTGGCTCCGGCGATTGCGATCTCGTAGGCCCTGGCTGAGGGTTGCGTGGGGACGACGGCGTTGGCCACGGTGCCGACGAGCATCGACGGGAAGATGGGTAGCACCCAGCCGGGCATCATCGAGGACAGCTTCTGCTTGCCCTCTGGACGGCAGCAAGGGCAGTCGGTGGTCTCAGCACTCATATCCAGCCTCGTGGAGCGGGAAACAGGGACTATACACGAGCCTTGTCAACTCACCGTTCCAGAGAAAGCAGTACGAGAGGAAGCTCTGGCAAAAGGCGATGCCGGTGTAGGTCCAGAAGAAGGCGCGCATCATGGTCGACTGGGCGGGATCGGGATCGGGTCCCACGAGGGTGGCTGCGCCGTTGATGAGGGTGGCGAAGGCCAGCAGCGCCGGGCCGACAAAGACGGCCTCGAGCGGGTGGCGCAGCACGGCGAGCAGGCTGGCGGCGCCCGAGGCGAAGCGGAAGGCCTGGGCGGCGGTGAGGGCGAGCACCAGGCCGAGGTTGCAAAAGTAGAGGACGCGGCCCATGTAACGCAGCTCGGTGAGGTCCATGACGTTGTTCATGAGCACCAGCGCCAGGCCGCCCGTCGACATGGGGAACGTGTACCATGCCAGCGTCAGGTGCGGCAGGCGGTCGCGCATGAAGCTGTAGCCCGAAGTCGGCATGGTGACCGAACGGAAGGCGACGTGGGGAGCGCGCCGAGGCAGACAGCTGTCGAGTGTCGCGCGTTGCTGCGCGCCAGCCGAAGGGTCGAGGCCCTAGGTCGCAAGAAAGCGCGGCGTCTGGCGAGCGGGCGGCCGGCCGGCCGAGCAGGCGCGATTTTTGGAAGCAGGGCCGAAGTGGCGGAGAGGGCTTGGATCGGCTCGGACCGTGCCCGGTAGCAGTCAGGGCGGGCAGGAGAGTAGTGCGTAGGCCGTCGAGCGTCGTATCACTCTATGGAGGCCAGCAAGCAGGCAGCAAGGAGGAGCAGGAGGGCGATGGGTGTCTGGAGATGGGGGGGGAGAGGAGGCTCCGGCGAGGGGAACCAGCTAGAGAGCGGCAAGCCGACGCGAGCAGGCCAGCCTTCTGTCCTTCTTTAAGTACTCGTCCAGCTTGGTCTCCCGCTTCCCTTGTCGGCGGAAGAGACTACGACGGCGAGTAGTCGAGTGCGACGGTCGCGGCGATGACAGCAGAGACGAATGGGTCCGGGACGCAGCCCTAGCGGCCGTCCCACCGCACTCAGCCCCGCCGCTGCCAAGGCGGACAGCCCCGACCGCCGGCAGCCAGCGTCAATTAGCGTCGAGCTATTCTCGCCATCACCCTCTTTCACAGGTAGCGCCCCTCGAGCGGGTGCCATGGGATACAGTATGGTAGGACGGCGACGCCAAAGCCAGTGCTTGCCAGTCTTGGCTTCGGCCCGTATCCTCAAGCGTGCATCACACAATGACCAGCACCGCCCTGCAGGGGGCTTGGCTTGCGCTCGAGACCGAGGACCAAGAGGCCACATACTGTACATACAGTAGTGCGAACCCCACGCACTCTGGCAGCGGGACGTGGAGCCGGAACGTGACAGCGGCTTTGCGCCATACGTAGGTAGCAACATCGATAAGGCGCACCCAGGCAGAGGACGGACCCAGTCATCCTGGGGCCTTGGTCCTTGGCTCGCCGGTAGTCGACCTTTCAGGAAGGCTTCCGAGGACCGCCCTGCCAGGGAGCACCGCTGGGCCAGACCAGGCGGGTGCGTGCCCGAGCACCGTGCCCACTGTGCCTGTACGTGTGCGCCTGTGGGATCGAGGGTGCCTTGGCTTGCGTCTAGGCTCTACGGCAGCACCGGCCCTCATCGGAAGTGTAGAGAGGCGTCGACCTTGAGCGTGATCTTCGGCCAGGTCGCTGCGTGTGTACCGAATGTAGCCCCTCGAACCTCCGCGAGGCTGCCTCGTCTTGGCTCGGCTACGTCGGCCGCCGTGCTCGATAGGTACGTGCGCCGCAAGTCGACCCGTGCGTGCGGCCCCTGGGTCCGAACGAGCTCGCAGCACACACACACTGCTGTACACAAATGGAAGCATGTTGGGGCCCAACCGTAGCCTCGAGGCCGGCAGCGACGAGGTGTCACGTCAAGGCCATCCTCGGCGGGCATTGGCCAGGATCGGCACTGCACCACATCCTACAGTTACGGCTAGCGCAGCACGGACAGCGCAGCCCAGCATAGCATCCACCAGCCCAGCCCAGATCAGCCCAGCCCCACTCCCAAAGACACCGCGTAGCATGGACGCCGCCGATGCACCACCGATTGAGCGCCTTTCCCAGCGTACAAAGGGGACTAGGGGACTTGTCAAGTGCAGAATGTACATATGTATGTAGCTCGTTGGACGCCGACGATGCCAAGCTCCGCGGGTCGGAAGCTAACGGAGTGTAAGGTTGGTCGCCACCGCCGCCACCGCCGACGCCGCCGGCGCTCATGAAGTGGGGGGCCACCGCGGCGCCCTCCTGCCCGGTGTCAAAAGGGGAGTAAGCCTCGCTCTCTTCGATTGCCAGCGCACCATCGACCCGGTTTGCTTCCGTTCCATGCCGATGGCTTCCATCGTCACAGCCTTGCCAAGATCAGGGCGGCGGTGGCGAGACAACTTTGTGCCTGATCGCAAAGGTTGAGTGAGCCTCCTCAATCGGCTTTTTCTCTTATCTCTCTCTTGCCGTAGCACCGTACCTCTGCGCTGGGACTTGCGGCCGGCATCTTGACCCGCCCGCGCTATGCATGTGGAGAGAAGGGCTCCATGGTGGCAAGGGGAGCGAGGTCTTGAGCGCAGCAGTAAGTACTTGGCGCCACTTGACGAGGGCTGAGGAGTGCGCTCAAATTGGAAACAAGAAGAATGAGATCGAGACATGGCTCCCACAGTCGGGTCGGGTTCTTGGCACGAGGGTGCCATATTGTCCTCACGGACGTAGACACCGGCACTTTGCGCCCCGCTCCGCCCGCAACCACAAGAAACGACAAGATGCGACGCCTGTGATCCATGGACGGCTGCCACCGCGCAATTGCCGTGGTGGAGCCTGGGACACGGCGAGGCCAGGCGAGGCCGAGCTTAGGACGGTGAGCAAGGGGTTGACCGCCGCCTTGCTTCGGGCGGTGATGCCGACCTCCGTCGGCCGACGGCGTGAAAGAGCACCACACACACCTCTGGCGAGGATCCACAGAAGCTTACGAGCTCATTCTGAATCGATGTATGTGCCTACAGTGGTCTCGAGCGCCAAGACCTGAATCAAGCTCGTAGCACCGAGCATCGCAGCCCTGACAATCCGGGGCGCGCTATGCGGTGATTCCGCTCGCCCATCAAGGCCGGGTCATGTTGATTCGATGGCATCACCGCGACCCCTTTGTTGGCTGGGTGGCGACTAACGCTCAATCGTTACGGTCCGAACGAGTCTTGGCATCGTGAGGCGGTGAATGGCGAGGGTGGGAACAGCGACGGACGGGCGAGAAGGTACACAAGGTTGCAGAAGGTCGACCAGGCTAGGCCTGGCCAGGCAGGATAGTACTATAAGACGCCGAAGTTGGGTCGGGCCTGTCACTGCGCCAAGCTGCTCGGTTGGGCGAGCCGGATTTGCACGATCAACGCAGCATGACGAGACGAACGACCGCCAAGCCTAGCCTAGCCTGCCCAGCGCTATGTATCAGAGACTAGCACCGTACCGTACCACACCCGCAACGTGCCGCCGCAACCGCCGCTGTCAGGCCAGGCCTGGCCTCACCGGAGGATTTTTTGGCCGGAAAAGGCGAGCGATAAGGCCGCGTCGAAAAGAATTCTCCGATGTCGCCGGGTGCCTTGCCTGCCTTGCCCTTTTTCGCCGCGGCATGGCCTCACCGGCTGTGGCCTTCGACCCGCCTGCCCCGGCACCACCAGCCCCTGCCCGCCCTCGTCGGATGGAAGCGAGCACGTTCGGATGGGCACCGGCGGACGTATTCCACGTTCAACAGCACACACAGCCGGCCCTCCCGCTCAGTCTGGAGAGGGAGTACGTGACTTTCGCCTCCGAGGGGGAGGGGCCGTTGCGGTTTGAGCGTTGCCTCGGGCAGGAACGTGATGGGCCCCTACGGCCCCTCCTACCCGCTTGGCGCACCACCATTGCTGAGGCGCGGCTCTTCGACAGCAAACGCGACTGAGAGTCAAGTGCTCGACTTCCCGATGCCTAGGGCCGTACTGGGGCCGAGGGACCGTCTTTGACGGGTCAACGACCATCTGCCGTGCGCAGCAGAGTCGACACACTGGCCCAAATCACCTCGGTACGGGATCGAGCGCCGCGAGCACAGTCGCTGCGCCCGTCTCACCACGGGGACGCGCTTTATTGGCTAGGCTCGTCGCCGTGGCTATAGGTCTCAAGCAAGTCTTTCCGGTCGGCACCGCGACTCTATCGCCCTGTACGTCGCACGGTGGCCGTGGGCGAAGTCGCAATGCTTCGATCCGTCACTCCTCCATAGACCTTCAAAATGCGAAGCTTTGCAGCTGCGGCAGGCTTCAGGGCGAGCTGAAACGGGCCTCGAGTAGATGAGCTGCCATGGCCGTGGGAACCGTCCAAGTCGAGGATGGCCTCGAGGATCGATGTGGCCGCGACTCCACCAACAACGGCGAAGCTCGCGAGCCAGTCAAAACGTAGGCAGGCTCGCCATGTACCTGGGATGAAGGATGGCGGGGAGACGTGCGATGCTCTCGTGATGGGACGCCAAAGCGCTGCCGTCAGCACCGCGACCGGCTCCTTCCGGGCGCGGATCCAGCTCAACGTCGTTGCGCAGGGCCAGTCGGCCGGTCTGACGGTACGCCGGGGCTACTGGCGGTGGGGGCCTTCACGCAGGGGTCCCCCGCTATCTCAAGAGTTTGTGCAGCAGCTGGTCGATGGCAGGGTAGAGAGGCCTCTGGAGCGGGACGATGATCGAGACGGAGCAACTCGCACCAGCTCCACCCGAACCTTGTGCACGGATGGCAATCAGTAATGCGAGTGGGTCGAGAGGCAGGTGTTCGACGCCGACATCGTCTGCCACCCGCTTGATTCGACGTGAGCGCTTTCCGCCGCGTCGTTCGAGGAGGTCGATCTCGACGGGGGCAAGGCGTCCATCGCGACACCATTCTGGTTCACCTTGGCTTCCAGACGACCCGACCGTGGTGAGCTTATCTTGAGATTAGGCCAGCGAAGAGTTTCCTCGCCATCATTGCGCGGATCAGCTCCGTACGACGGACGAGAGCGAGCAGACGAGGGCAAGAGCGAACGAGAAGCGCGGCACCCGGGATCACGGTAACGACTGGAAGGCGTGGCGGTGTGCTCTGCAAGCCCGCTGAGTCTGCCTATCTCTGTGGTAGCAGACTTGTCGCGACGGTAGGCAGCGTACAGTGAGCACGAAGCAGGAATCGCAGCAGAGGTTGCGAGGGCCTTATGAGCGCACGGGGACGATGGATGGTGGACGCGCTCCTCTGTGGCTCGTACGATGTCGGAGCTGCCTCGGCGGTGCAGGAGGCTGGCTTGGGTGGGTGGGACCCTGACGGCCCGCCCGCCCGATTTTTTTTTCTTTTTTTTTTTTGGCCGCGCGACTGGCGCGAGTCCCAGCCCCAACACAAACCCAAGCAGGCCACCGCCCGCCGCCCCGAGGGCCAGGCTGGCAGGCTGGCTGCTCGAGCCCAAACACCTCCTTCCTCAATTTTGGCTCGCTGGCTCCCCAACCATCGATCCGACTCCACGACCCACAGCGGCAGGCGCTGCCGTGGCCAGCCGTTCCCGAAATCCCGGCGAGTGGTGCGGCGTCTTCCGGCAGCCAGCGGGCACGACCCGAGGCTCCCGACGCCGTCGCATGCTATGGGTCGCGCCAGCATGCTTGCCTGCTTCTTGCTCCTGGGCCTGCCTGCCTGCCTGCCTGCCTGTCGTCGCGTAGATGGGCAGAAGGTCCTGCCTCGCCAGCATGCTTCCGAAGAGGCTGCGGTGCTGGGAGGCCGTGCCGCCCCAACGCACCTGCCTGTTCGTTCCGGAGTGGCGCCGACCCGCATACCGACCTTGGCCGTCGACAGCCAGAAGAGAGAGTTGTGGCCTGATGATGGCGGCGATTCTTCCCGCAGGCTCGCATAGCGTCGAAGGCGCCGCGCTCGTGGCTCCAATCCAACCAAATCCACGGCGGCATGGCCTGGCAAGGCAAGGCATGGCAGCATGGCAGGCTGGGCCCGTCGAATCGCGCCGGACGCCCCGATGCCCACTCTGCTGGGCGGGCGGGCTGGGTGGCTGGCCTGGCCTGGCTGTTTCTTCTTGGAGGGCGAAATAAGGGAAAAGGGGAGGCCCGTGCCTCGCGCCCTCCCCGCCCCTGCCTGCCTGCCTGCCTGCTTTCAACGGCCGCCGCCCTGCTGGCCCCAGCCCCGGCCCACTCACCCGACCCTGGCCTTGGCCGGCCTGTCAGGTTTTGGGGGGCGGGCAGCAGGTGAGGCAGGCCAGGCCGGGCGACGCGAGGCGCACGCCCAGAGGCAGCCTTGCTTGGCGAGGCGGGCAGGCGGGCAGACAGGCAGACAGGCAGGCGAAGCAAGCAAGCAGGTGCAGGGGCCCAGCACCGTCGGCGACATCCCGAGAGTCTGGGGACGAGACGTCCTTCGCAGCGAGCCCCGCTCGCCCCCCTCTCGTTCCAGGCTGTCCTGCTCGCCATCATCACCAACACCGACCACCAACACCGACCACCACCACCACTCCTTCCCTGCCTTCGGACCCTCTTCGCTCTCCACGCTTCAACCCGCCCCTCCGCCTGCTTCTCGCCCTTCCCCACTCGCTCTCTCTTCCCCCCTCAACGACATCGCAGCCATGGCTCCTCAGCAGAAGGGTTTCTCGTGGTCCAACATCGCCGTCGGCGCGACGATGAACATGATGGAGGTGAGCAGACGCCGGCGGATCGCGGCGGTAGAGACTGGATCAGTGCGCTGGCGGACCATCGGCGCAGAGCCATTCCCGCTCCGGACTGATCGCGGCGAGGCTCGGGCTGGCAGTTGCCACCTCGGGCGAGTCTCTGCACCGTTGCAGATGGGGTCGCCTAACGCAATGGAAGGTCGCGATGAGCCGGTGCAGCTCGCCGCTCAGACCAGCAAAGCGAGCCAAGCTGACATCGCGCCCCATGCTATGCTGCTTTCCCCCAGGTCACCACCCTCGGTCAGCCCCTCGAGGTCATCAAGACCCAGATGGCGTCGAACCGCCAGCAGACGATGGTGCAGGCCCTCAGGACCGTCTGGTCCAGAGGCGGCGTGTACGGCTTCTACCAGGGTCTGATCCCGTGGGCGTGGATCGAGGCCTCGACCAAGGGCGCCGTCCTCCTCTTCACTGCTGCCGAGATTGAGAAGGTCGCCAAGAACTCGGGCGTCGGCCCTGGCTTCGCCGGCCTGCTCGGCGGTATGGGCGGTGGTATCGCGCAGGCGTACGCGACTATGGGTGAGTGCGGCTCGGCCCGGCCGTACTGCAATCTCGACGCCGACCCTCTGATGGACTGACACGACTGACGTCGGACACCCCTCTGGTCTGCACGCTCTGCGCCACAGGCTTCTGCACGTGCATGAAGACTGCCGAGATCACCCGCCACAAGCAGGCCGAGGCGGGCATCAAGCCCCCCTCGACCTGGGCCGTCTTTGCCGACATTTACCGCCGCGAGGGCCTGGCGGGCATCAACAAGGGAGTCAACGCCGTCGCCGTCCGACAGTGCACAAACTGGGGTAGCCGGTGAGTGGGCGGTAGGACTTCCTTTGGCTCATTCAAGCGTGCACGCTCTGGTTGCTAAGTTTTGTCCTCCTCCTGCTCCTCTCTTCTTGCCCCTCACCTCGTCCGACCGCCTTCTGCAGGATGGGATTCGCCCGTCTTGCCGAGACTCCGGTCCGTTCGCTCGTCGGAAAGACGGAGAAGGACAAGCTCAGCGCCCTCGAGAGGGTCGCCTGCTCGTCGATCGGAGGTGCGCTGGCCACCTGGAACCAGCCCATCGAGGTCATCCGCGTCGAGGTGAGCATCGTAGCCGTCTCCCCGGCCTGCTTGATGCAGCACACCGCTGCCTGGCACTCTTGCTGACGCATCCCCTCTTTCCCTCGAACGTCGCCCATCACCGCCGCAGATGCAATCGATGGCCAAGGCCGCGCCCGGATCGAACCGCCCCGAGAAGCTGACGATTGGCAACACGTTCGCATACATCTACAAGGAGAACGGCATCAAGGGCCTCTACCGCGGCGTCACGCCACGCATCTTCCTCGGCATCTGGCAGACGGTGAGTGCGGACCTGGACGCGTCGCGTGTGGCGTCCGCCTCGTCGATGGCATCTCGTGCTGACCTTGGCCCCTGCCCCACCCATCCACGCCTCTGTTCCTGCTCCGCAGATCTGCATGGTCTCGTTTGCTGACTACGTCCGCGAGTTTATCGGCAACAAGTAGGCGCAGGGCCGGCCGGCTGGCTCTGGAGGTTGCGATTCTGGACACGGGAAGGGCGACGGAGGGGCGGAACGGGCTCCTTCGATAGAAGGGACTGCATCCGAATCGAGCGTCGGTGCCCGCCATTCCGCAGGCGGAGTAGCTCGTCGTAGCGGCGTCGTCCCAAGGGTGCCCGGGTGCCGCGCGAAGAGAAAAAATACCAATACACGAGCCCGATCGATGGTTTTGAGTGTGGGTCGTGCTGCGCGCCACTACTCCTTCCTTCCCCGATGCCGCTGCAGAGGATGAGGTTTAGGTTGTCAGAATGGGACGTCTGCCGCGCGCGACCGGGTGTGCAGGCTGACGGCCGGAGACGGCAGGCCAGGGGCGGGCCCAGACGCTGACGATCGGCTGCGAAGCGGAGCATAGGGGCCAGATCGCGCTGGGCTGGACGGTCCGTCCCGTCCAGGGGCGGCGAGGTTCGGAAGGCAAGTGGTCGATGAGCGACGAGACGGCGTCCAAGTCAGGCCCACCTCTGATCAGAGAAGGGCCTTCTACGGAGCAGAGCATGAGATGCCGCTACGCATGCTGCCCTTTCCGATCGGCCTCAAGGGGTGCAGGAGCTGGGGGCGAGGGCGGGTCACCACGGATCGTGCGGCTTTCCGAGCTTTGTTGGCCCTTCCCGACGCGCTCGGGCAGGCCAAGACGACGAGGCGAGAAGAAGCGAGGGACCGTGGGAAGGCTTCGACCCGGGCTTGGCTTGCTGTAGCTTCTCGTGGCATCGCGGCCCAGCCTTTGTAGCTGCCGAATATGTGGGCGAGCTTCGGATGGGCATGCCGATGAGACGGACGGCCCAAGCCAGCCGGCTCAGCCAACCTTAGCTACCTGTCTGCTTGCCAACGACACCGTTCCCTGTCGGAGCGGGCCGAGCTTACATAGCTCGCAGCACCCAGCAGCAGTCCGGCGGGGCGGGTTACCCCAGCTCGCCATCGCGGCCGTGCATGCAGTAGAAGTGGGCGGACCGGCCGCCCCTGACCGGCACGGATGGGGAAGGAGACGGGAGGGCTCGGAAGTTTGTTTGCCGTTTGGCGAGCGGATGTCGCGACGAACTTCCGCTGCGCTGGTGCCTGCTTTCCCTTTATCTCTTCGGTGGTCCGCCGTTCATATCCACCTGCTTGCTGCCCGGCTTGATTACTCGCCAGGACCCCCTCTGACCAACACAGCCTCACCGAGAACTACCAACAAAGGCTTCTCGCATGTCCGCCAGCGTTTCCACACTCACATCCAGGTACATTGCCGGTCTTTCCCGCACAGTCATGTCCGCCATGACATGACGGAACGGTTCGAGCGCATCGTGGATATGGATATACATATCATGTACGGCACCTCAATGGCGCGGCCGATACCGATCAAGCCAAACAAGCTAAGGTGCGGCGCGGGGCCAAGATAGAAGCAAGCAAGGATTAGCGCAGGACGTCCGCAATCGAGTCGAGGCACCCCACCCCACCAGCCTAGGCCGGGCGCGGCGCGGCGCGACTACCTGCTAATCATGAATGGCGCCACCACCATTCCTTCCGAACCCCCCGCAATTCGACGGAAGTGCGGGCCGCGCGGGCACGGTAAGAGGCCGCGCTAGCCCAATAATCTAACCTTCCTTTGGCCATGCAAGGCTGAGACGGCGGCGGCGGAGGCACTCAATCACGAATATATGCCTGCGACCAACGTGCTGCGCTGCCTCGCCAGCTGGGCCGCGCCATTGGATGACCGACTAGCTCGACCAGCACAGCTCTTGCTGCATGGCGCACCCACGACTACCACTCTGGGTCAGCACAGCAACTGCGGGCCAGCTAGTCCGGAGCGGAATCGTGTATAATACGGCGGTTTGGGACCAGCCGACGAGCCCGACTCGCTCCCCGCCTCACATCGCCTCCCCCTCTCTCTCGCCGTCATACCGTCTTCCCATCGTCAAAGTCGCTCTCGCTCCGTCTACGACGCTTCGCCCGACTGCACCGGGGCCTCCCGGCTCTCGGTTCACAGATGTCCTCTACCACCGCCTGCAGCGTCGACACACGAGTCGCAGCAGGCACCGAACCCGGCATGTCGTCTACCGCACCCTTCAGCATACCGCCGCGCGTCGCCATCGCCGACCACCAGGCTGGCGAGGCAAGGCAGGGATCAGAGATGGCAGGACCCGCCCAGGTAGGAAGGCAAGTCGACAACCTGGAGCGAGCCTTTGCCACCGACTTTGCCAGCCCCTGGCCGGCCACTGTCCGCCCTCTGCCCCTGCAGTCGGTCCCTGAAGCGGAGCAAATCGACGACGGAGAAGAGACGCCGCATTGGTGAGTCCCGGGCAGCCGATGGTGCCCCCATCATCCCCTGCTGGAGGGGAGAGGACAGGGCCAGCGGGAAGAAAGGTGCTCAACATCGGACCCGACTGACGTGACTTGACTGCCGCCATCTCTCGCCCGCGGTGCGTGCAGCACCTTTGATCCGCTCGACCGCTTTCCGCGCCGTCCATCGCTCCAGCCTTCGTCGGCCCACGGCGAGCACCTCGTCCGCACCAGGACCGAAAGCGTCTACTCGCACTTTGAGATCGGCATCCTCTCCGCCTTTCCCTCGCCGCCGCTGTCGCCGCCCCCGTCGATCGCGCCGGGCCCCCACAGCTGCACATCGCACGACAGCCCGCTGCTGCCCCTGCTCTCGACCCGGGAGGATGACGCGCCGTCCGCCACACTGCACGACACCCTCGACGGGCGCGAGGATGGCGATGCGAGGGCGAGTCTGGACCTCGGCTGGCCCTCGAGCTTCTTCTGCGCCGGGTCGAGCCGCAGATCGTCGTTCTACCCGGCCGACGAGCACGAGAGCACCGCTAGATCGGTGCAAGTCGTGCGCCGCACGCCCTCGACGCCCGCAGCAGCGTTCATCAACGCCGTCTATTCGATGCAATTGGCCCATGCCGGCCTGTTGACGTGGCTCCGAAGCCAGGATGTCACCGGGACGCGCGACACCGCGACCTCCAGTTCTGCGGCTGCCGCGCAAGATGACGCTCCGGCCACGTCCGGCGAAGCTGCGAGCGGCATTGATCTTACTCCGCGTGCAAAGTCTCGCATCCTGAGGCAGACGGCATCTCCGGCGCCCTCCTACCACCTTCCGGCTCCGCCTCCGCTGCCGGACCCGTCTGTCCTCTTCTCGCTGAGCATCCCGACGTCGTCCGAAGAGACCCTCGGCGCCGGCGCGGGAAGCCCACTTGATGCGGCCTACTCGCCGGCGCCGTCCGACTCGACCTTCTGGTCCTCGACGTCGCATCGTAGCTCGATCGATTCGAGCGCTGCTGCCGCTTCCAAGGGCGAGGCGGCCACGCTCCTCGGCGATGCGCCCGGCAGCTCTGCCACGTCCACCTCAACCTCGAGCGGCTGCGGCGAGCCGACGAGCGATGCGACGCACGCGGAACGTGAGACGCTGCTTCAGTGTCTCCAAGCGGCGGTAGGCAAGGGGATGGAGGCCGTGGTGCTCCTGCGTGCCTTTGACGCGAGGCAGCCGACCCCGGCGGCCGTGACGAGGCAGCGCCAGGGTACACCGCAGCCCCCGTCTTTGCCACTGCTGGCCTCTCCACCGGTTCCCCCACGCCGTCTCGACTCGCTGCCCCCCGCTCGCGGGAGCGGAGGCGTTGCAGGCAGCGAAGGGGAGGATGAAGGCAGCCGCACCTCGCTCGACGTCGACGCGCCCGCCGCCTGCTCGACGATCAGCTTCCCGGCGCCGCGCCCTTCCACACCGGCCGCCGCCGCCGCAGCCGTCGACACGACCCCCGTCTCCAGTCCCACTGAGGAGCACCTCAACTCGAAGACGACGACGACGACGACGACGACGAATCAACCGGCATGTCTCTCGTTCTCCCCGCCGCCACCATCACCGCGCCAGCCGCAGCAGCAGCAGGGTGGGCTTGAGCTGGGGCTGGGGCTGGGGCTGG